CTAAATGTGTGTAGTTACAATTCTGACTCAGTGAATATCCATGGATAAACAAAGTAAAATAAAAGGAAGGAAAAATAAAACGAAAACAAAAAACAAATTTGTAAGGTGAACTGCATTCACCTCTTCTTAACAAAGAAACTGGTAAAAGTTGTTCAAATAATTGAACTGAGTTGCCTCTTTAAATGACACTAAACATATGATGAATCTTGGAGAATCTGAAGTCAGACTGTACTGAAAAGCCTATGTGTATGGATTAAACAGTGTAAATTAACAGAACTCACTTCTCTGTTGGCAGAAGTGAGATACTGCTTTACACTCCCTAAGTGCTGATCTATAAGTATTTACTACTCAGGGTCTCAAACTGCTATATCCGTCCTCCTAAGGCTCACCTACTCACTGTCTAAGAAACAGGCCAAGGAGGAAACTGTCTTAACAGTCGTTCAGCAGGACAGTAATTTAGTTGATGCCCTTAAAAATACATGTAATAAAACTTGCCTCTCCCAAAGAAATATAGAAAAGAGTAGTTTGTGGGAGAGATTGTTTTTTTAGAATGCAAATGCAGCATCTTTCATCTGCTGTTACAGAACAGAGGAATCATCACCAGATGTAGAATTTGTACCACCTTTTTTTCCCCTAAAATTGAAAATTCAACTCAAAGCATTCTCAAATATTGGGATCAAATTCCAGCCGAATTTGTGTATCATGACATACTTTGTTCCTGAAATAAAGAAGGTGCATGTGGTACAGCTGAATGTACAAAGCTGAGCAGACTGGGAAGAAAGTTTAATCTTTCAGACTGACGCTCTGGAAAGGCCACAGACATGTAGTTGCTCAGGTAGTTTCTCTAAGCATTGCATTAAGTATAAGCACAGAGGAACAAACAGTTCCAGGTAACGGTCACGAACACAACTGTTCAGAGAGAATATTTTTTGATAGAAAATCCAGCTAGCTTATATGTATTTCAAACACCAAACAAACAGATCTAAATAAACAAACTACTGCAACAACAACAAAAATATACTAGTAAATTAGCTATGCTATAAAGACTAGAATGCTTGTGAACATGAACTTTTATCAAAATCAGAAAAGTGTCTGAAGGTTAATTCAGCAAGGCTTGCTAGCTCTCTAGCTGGTTGGTGCCAGGAGGCACTGCAGAAGCCAACTGTGTCTTGTGCTCCCATGTGATCCCAAGACATTTTCTGAGCACTAGTTTTTCATACAGCAATCAGTACAATACCAGAGTATGATAAGGCTTCTGTACTATCCATGCACAGAATTAGCTTGCTGCTAAAAGCATCAGTATAGATCATAACTTGGAAAATAGTTTGTGAAGTGACGGTTCAGCTGGCACTATGGAGCTCAGGAGTCTCTGACCAGAGGCATCTAAACTCTCAAAAATGCAATATGCTCTCTATGACAACTGTTGTATCTCATCAATTGGCCTAAATTTTGGTGAAAGAGGCCATTTGTGACTGGAATCCATGACAATCAATCTTATTTCTGTGCAGAGAGAGACAACAAATTAGTGAAAAGTCTGTGAGTACTTCAACAACTGTGAGGCTGTAAATAATTTTGGATATCTTGTCCCTAGGTTTTCAATTTAATGAACCAGACTTCTTGTATCACTAATATATTACTGATCCTTTCTCTTAGCAGAACTGTGTCAAATACTGCTTCTCCTCCAATGACTAACTCATAATCAGTGACTACTGGATAGGGATGAAGAATGATCCATTGGTTGTTTGAATTTTGATCCTTGATTAGGCTAGGATGGAATTTCCAAAATATTAAATAATAACATATCTCTTCTTGCATTTAAGAAAATTGCAGTTCTGTCTCAGAATCAGTTGTAATTGAATTACATTGACACATGCTTCAGTTGGAGACTCTGTGCTATGTAACAGTGCAAAGCATAATTTCAAGTAAAATGAAAATTCTACTCCTGTTGGTTTCCACAGAACTCAAGCTAAATTTTCATCATGCTTGAGGAAGGAATAGTAAGTTACTTCCAAGAAGCCCTTCTGTCTTTCATATTCCTCTGCAACAGCCAGGTTTCACCCTAAGAAGGTGAAGTATCGAGAGCTCATGATGCTTGTCATCTGAATCTGACCAAAATTTATAGCAGAAAACTCAATATTGCTGAAACATGGCTTCAAAAGCCAACCTATTCCACTGGTTGGAAAATCAAAACTTGTTTTTCCAACAGTAGGTAAACCTGACTGTTGAGAAGAGTTCTCCTTGAACATCCAGAAATGTCAAATTTCAGAGGAAGGGAGGGTAAGATAAATCTGGTTGGATGGGACATAAGCAGGTCCCAGCCCAGCCTCCTCAAAGCAGTGTCAGCTGAGAGGTCAAAGCAGATTGCTCAGGATTTTATCTAGTTTTGTCTTGAAAGCCTCCAAGGATTTGATGTGAACACATTAAAAGTTAATCTGAATAATTCTGAATTCTATGGCAACGTCAATACAAAGAACCTAGGAGTTCTTACGTAGTCATTAGGCCCTGCATTTCTGCTTCAGGTGAGCCCTTTCTCGTAACATGTGGCAGTCAGTCAGTGTTACTCTGGCAGCTGCTTCCCCCAACCTCCCCATCCCATACAGAAGATCAAGTATGTCAGAGGCTAGAGGTTTTACTTGTCACAGCGCAAAGGTGAATATTTGCACTTGTAGCAGTGCTGCATGATCCAGAACATGCCCAAGCTCTTTTGTGTTGATATTCTTCATTCACTTTACCTTGCCTGAGGATGTAATGTCTCAGGCATATAATACAACTTAAAGCTTTTCTAAATAAATGAGGGCTGCTGTTGATTGCTGTCTCAAGGATGTTCTGCTCACTTTTCTCCAGTATATATAAATGAACATAACAAGCACGAGGAAGGAAACTGGCCACCACCTCATGTAAAGCACCCTTGGTGTCCTATCACTTCTTTTATCTAAGCAGCCAGTACCCAGTGGGTGAAAAGGTGTCACTGAAAGTTCCCCAGCACAGTTGCCAACATGCTGCCTTAGACACGGGAGAGAAAAGTACTGCTCTGTAGGAGGCCGGTTTATGGTATGTGTAACACGTGCCTCTTCTGCCTGACTGCTCATCAGCTCCACAGAGGACAATACTTTCTCTTCGTGAAATTCAGCAAGTAAAAGTTCAGCCTCCATGTCTACTAGGAAAATAGGTGTTTAAAGAAGCTTGTTAAGAGGACGTAAGTTCTAAAATCCTAGAATGAAGACAGATCATTTAAGTTAGGCAGCCAATGTTGCCCCCTGGTGGCCATTCCGTTTTGCGTGTGTCTCTATATGCCTTGCTTGAAAGTCGTTTTCACCATGTAGAAGTTAATATCAGTTATTTAACCAGTTAAAAAAACAAACAAACAAAAAAAAAAAAAAAAAAAAAAAAAACCCACAACACAAAACAAACAAAAAGAAAGAGAAAAAACAACCAAGTGTCCATTTTCCTCAGTGTCTTTCAGGAGTTTATATGAATAACCTTTGAAAACAGGAGTGTGTACAGAGGGATTTTCAGTACCTTCTGTTACTTTCATTTTCTAATTTGTCTTCCTATTTTTTTATTTTTATTTTTATTTTTATTTTTATTTCTTTATTGCAGACAGTTAGGGAAACGTCAGTCTTGTCTTAAAGCCCGTCTGCTAGGAACAATAAAACAGTTAATTCCACAATTATGCAGTTTAGCTTAAAAATGTCACTGTGACAGAAATAAAGGTGTTGCATGAAGCACTATGTACTGGACATAGATGTGCCACCAATTACCATTTTAAAACTTTAGAATATGACTATTTTTATTAAATTGATTGAAACAGAATTTGTTTGTTGTACTTTATTATGCCTTTTTGTGTGTGTGTCTGTGTACTTCACAGCTTTTCCTGATTTTAGAGATACATTCATTTTAACTTAGGAAATGATAACTATTTCTTATTATTCCTAAAGTTATTTTCAAAATATTGCCAATCTGTGATAGTTCTGATGAAAAATATTTCCTCATCAAAGAAAAAATGAGGTCAAACTAAAGCTCATTGACATCAGCAACACATCTACATTAGGTCTGAGTGAAATTAGTAACCAGTATGGTGATGGCTGTCCCAGTGACTGAATGGGACATACAGCTCCTGAAAGCTTAAGCATGCAGGTTTGACAGCAATGTGACAAGACAGTTTTTGGCTATGAACAACTGATTGTGATGGATTTGGCTTTCTTAGGGGTAATATCTGAACAGTGTTCAATATCTAACACTGGTGGAAAGAAAAAAGAGCTGGTCAGACCTCTTCTGCTAGGGCAGAAACTACCAGGGTATCTGCATGTTGGAATGAGAAAATGAGTAAAGTTTCAAAAGGAGCTTAACAAACAAAAATGTAAGCATAGTAGCTAGTTAGCCAGGATGAAGTATCTAATATCTCTGAGAATCTGCACTGAACACCCATACCCATATCCAGTTGGAATCTCAAAGGAATGGCAGGTAGCTTGAGGTCCAGGAAGGCTGAAGGTCTGCTCCTTCTAACTTCTACAGTTTCCAAGCACATGATGTGTAACATACTGAGCCCAGACTTACTCAGGCAGTATGCTCAAGGAAGTGTTCCTTATAAATGATCTAGACAGAATGACTGATTGGCTCTTTAAAGTAATATTTCTAAATACATTTTTGGTCAGGAGAAAATATAAAATACCTTGGCCGCTGCCCTAAGTATTCAACTACAAAATTTGAAACCGATGATGCAAGTCACATGGCACTAGCTGAAGTAAGTATAATGAGAAACAGTAAAAAGAAAAGAGAAACTAATAGCCATCCTGCATGCAAGAGCCAGAAGCTAAAAAACAGATTACTCTTTCAAACTATTAATATCCCCATCTTCGTACATATACTCAACTAGATGCTAATGTAGAATAAAAGGTTTTTCTCCCAAATAAATTACTAAGACAGTATAAATAAAGGCATATAGACCATTCATAAATACTCTGTTGGCAACAGAATGCGCTGGAGCTGCCTTTGCTGGTAGCCGCATTAACAGCCACAGTTGGGTTGCTGTGGTGGAGGGCTGTCCTTTAGTCGTGTGTTCTGCTTGCCAGCAGTGATGTTGGGATCTGTCTCCAGACTTTCGGACATTTTGTCACAGATGATATCCACAAGTCGCTCAAATGTCTGCTTGACATTAATGTTGTCCTTGGCACTTGTTTCAAAAAATTCAAAACCTAAGAAAATAAACAACACGTGTATGTTTGATACATATTTGAGAATCTCCAAGCAGTGTACAGACTTCTCAGCACAGATGTGTGTGCGATAAACAGAAAGTAAATATGTGAGAGCACACACATAAATGAGTGATATTGCAAAAGCAGTTAAAATTATAACACAATCAGGGCAACTACATTAGTGTCATTTGCTTCATAACAAGTCAGATAAAATACAGACTAGACCAAATACATTCCCTTAAACAAATTATACTTTGAAACAGTTTCATATAAAAACTGACACCAATTTGAGAATCCTATTAAACTAGAAATGCCTTATATATTCAGCCATTGTGAAGGTATAATCTACTGCTGTATCTCTAGCTATTATGCTTCTCTGAGCATTATTCAGCTGGAAAAAGCCATTTGCATCATTTCATTAACCTCATGCCAAAATAGACAATTATATTTGGAAACAAGCAGGTAAAAAAGCAAACAAGGCAAGGAAAGCTTTCTGCAGTTTGTCTCCTTGTAGGTAAATCTGTGGCGAAAAATCTGTGTCCATGTCTGGAGCCCCCAATACAAGAAAGATAGAGATATGTTGGAGAGGCTCCAGAGGAGAGCCGCAAAGATGATCAGGGGATCAGGGGACTGGAGCATCTACACTGCAAAGACAGGCTGAGGGAGCTGGGCTTGTTCAGCCTGGAGAAGAGAAGGCTGTGGGGTGTTCTATTGCAGCCTTTCAGTACCTAAAGGCAGCCTATAAACAGGAGGGGAGTCAACTCTTTGAAAGGGTAGATAACAGCAGGACAAGGGGAAATGGTTTTAAGTTGAGGGAGAGAAGATTTAGGTTGGATGTCAGGGGGAGGTTGCCTGCAGAGAGTGGTGAGGTGCTGGAACAGGCTGCCCAGAGAGGTTGTGGATGGCCTGTCCCTGGTGGTGTTTAAGGCCAGATTGGATGGGGCCCTGGACAGGCTGGTCTGGTATTAAATGGGGAGGTTGGTGGCCCTGCCTGTGGCAGGGGGCTTGGAGATTCACGATCCTGGAGTTTCCTTCCAACCCTGGTCATTCTGTGATTCTGTGATTCTGTGAAAAACTGGACCACCACGTATAACCAATAAACAAACACTGTTTTTTCTTTTAATTCATTTATGGAGAAAGACTTTTTATCAGTCCATTCCCAATGATTACCTCAAAGGCAATGAGAACTACTGTTAATACAGGAGCCTATATGGAGCAGAACTAGCTTTCCTAAGCTCCCTTTTCTGCCCTGGTTTGTCCCATGTCTTATTTCCCATGTCTGTTCCCTGCCAGGTTTGCAATTTGCTGTTCTGCCTGCAATACAGGAAGTTTCTATCAATGTCAGGTCTTCTCAATTCTTTCTCTCCAATTCCTTTTTTCTGTTTGTTTGTTTGCTTGCTTATTAGTTTACTATGCCTCTTTCTTCCCCCTTGCAGACTATGTTACATATTTTTCTCATATTTGTCTCATTGCTGACTTGAGGGTTTCTTAGAAATTTAGAAGTTTCTACTTCTGTCTTTCCATTGCTCAAGGTTTCAGTAATAAGAGAGTTTACAAAACATCTATTCCACTAGTAATCTTACAGAAGTTACTTCACTTTTGTACATCTATTTTGATTCTTTTTAATCAATGCCGAAAAGCAGTGTGCCCCTACTGCTTAATGTTTAATCAGGAAATATCAGTCACTTCAACTCCTGAGAGAAATGCAAGAAACAGATTTATTATTTTTGTTGTGTCAAGCTAATCTTCTATTTCCAAAGGCTATTTGAAACTAAAATTGAACTGCTCAGATAGTATCTGAACAGGATGTAATGCATATGTGCACAGTCCTATAACTGCTTGGCATGTAGTTTTCGCATACCTAGAGATAAAGCAGGTAGTTATATCCAGCGTGGCATGATAACCCAGTATGTGCAAATAGCCAATACAAAAAGTTAACTCTATGTTCTAAGCATTCTTCATATTTTTAATTTATGTTAAGTGCCTTGTGCTAAGAAGTCAGAAAGTTAAATTACTTAGATGTATAGGAGCTAAATGCAGGCCAATGTTGGTGCTCATAGGTAGTTTAAATAACAAACTCTTGCACATACAAACATCATAAAAGGATTTAGTCATGTAATGGTAATATCAGCAAGAAATATAATCTCACAAACATGAGCTTTTTTTCCAAGCACATTAGCTTGAAAAATTTTCTTTCCCACATTTCTCTTGAATGCAGGAAAATTGTGATAAAAGACCAGTTATGGAAATCATATACTGGGAGGTGATTTTAATCTAAGTCTCAAACCAATTGTTTGGTTGCTATAGATTAGCAACCTTCTTCTAATGCAGAAGAAAAATGTGGAAAGCCAGTGTAGCCTTATTTGCTGATGGCTTCAGTGCTTCTATGGCGTTCCATGCAGGAGAAAACTGTTCAGATCTATTGGGAGCTGCTTGGTGAAAAGGAGGTCTTCCACATTTCCACTGCTCTGTGTCAAAACATGGCTGTGGCTCTGTGATGGAACAGTGCAGTCAGATCTTCCCACAGCTGCTGCCATCTGCTGCACAGGAAGCAGGAGGAGAGTAGCTGTTCTTATGAGGTTTGATTTGATTTCAAAGATATATACGTGCTACAATCCCAGAGGATGACTGCAGGCCATTATTTCACTCAGACTCTGAGAGCAACCTGACCTGTCTTGGTCAGGGAAGGTGCTTGCTGTGCTTGTGCAAGCTGAATCTGGACCATGGGCATAACTTCAATAAAATGGCATGAAATCTGGAGTCTTGAACCTTGGCTTCTGGGACCATCACATTATATTTACAGTACAAATAAGCCACAGCTGTGACAGAATATCATTATTACTGCCAAGATAACAGCTCTCTCTCCTGATCATCAACCAGCTCCATCACATCCCATGGTCTCATGGGTAATGTGTCAGAATTTGTGCCCATTGCATGTTTCTCCTCTTTTCAAATAAATAGAAAGAGATGAAACTGAGTATGAAATGAAAAGAGGGGAAAAATGCCTTGTAATCTGTCTAACCCCCAGCAAGGGTGTTGCTTTGATATTTATTACATTCCCTGCCAGCTCCAACACCTTTCAAGCAGAAAAAAAACCTACACTTTACTGTATGAGTAACAGTGATCTGACGTGTGGAAAAGAGATAGCATAAGCAGTATGCCCTCACTATTTGATGCAATGTAAACTGAAAGAGGAGAGAGAAGTATACAGGCAGGACAGTAGGGCAGAAGGGCTGACGGACAACTAGAGGATGCCTGAGAACTGCAACACCAAGGCCTCTGAAATGACAGAAAGAATGAGTCTTTAAGCTGAGCGGTTTTTAAAGGCAGTAACACAGAATAGCTGGCACAAGAGATGATCATAAAATGGCAGGTGATGCAGCTAGACAAGTGATCTGGGCAGTGGAAACAGAAATTGGAAGAAAAAGAGTCACAAAGATCATACAGGAGATTGATGTCAGAAAATACTGTAACAGAGAGATGATGAAGACAACAGGTCCACTACCACAGTGAGGGTGCTCTGCATTACACTGAAAAGTGGAAACCCTCTTTTTCGGAGTAATATAGGGACTTTTGGCATGTTCAAGCACAAATATATTTAATATTTATTCAAAGAAAACACAACAGCTGTGGAGAAATCTGTGGAATTGAGTTATGGTTTTGTTACAAGAAGAAAATTATAGTTACAGTAGCGGTACGGTTGGGTATGAGGCAATGCCTGTGTATACATAGCCTCTGTCTACTTTTTCATTTCCTTTGTGATTCAGAACCTTCCCATCTTGACCATGCAAAGATGAGATGATGCACAGACTTGAGACAATGTTCTGACTTATGAAAAGGTGACTGAATTCCCACCTGTATCCACAACAAAGTACTGAACGTATTCTGTATCTGATCTCTACGGATACAAATTTCAGTCATTCAGGAGCTGGTTCCTTCAAGCAACCCTGCATACAGACCAGTTGATAGCCACTATTTCTATATTTATATATGTTGATAACTACTCTGAATGGTGAAAATGGACAATCCAGTAGGCCCCTCATAAATATTTCCTGCTGTAGAATGGATTCAGTCGCACACAGGTAAGGTAATTGTAGATGTTCTGTGAAAACTGTGCTTGCAGATGCAGAAAGGGTCACACAGAACAGTCTTTTGTAGTCAGTTAAAAGATGTTTAGTGTACATTTTAAAATAATCACTTTCAACTTATTGGCATGTATTGGAGAGCAGCCTTAGAACCAGCTGAATGTACAAGAACTCATCAGAACAACAGTTCAGAGAGACTCATCTAACACAGCTGAAGAAATTCCTCTATGGCTTAGGACTGGGGCCAGTTTTCTTTATTATCTTTATCAGTGATCTGGATGAATCAGTCCCCACTCACTAAGTTTGCAGATAACACCAACTTAGGGAAGAACACTGATCTGCTTGAGGGTAGGAAGGATCTGCAGAGGAATCTGACTGGGCTGCATGGATGGGATGCATCCAGCTCTCTAAGCGAAAGCTAAATGCTGAGTGCGGCACTTGCATAGTGGTAGTGTAGGCTTAGGGGAGTTTGGCAGGAATGTTGCCCAGCAGAAAATGACCTGGTAGTGCTAGTTGACAGCTGGCTGAACAGGAGCCAGCTGTGCAGCCAGCTGCCCAAGAAGGCCAGTGGTCTCCTGACCTGTATCAGAAATCGTGTGGTCAGGAGGCCTGGAAAAGTGATTGTTCTTCTGCCCTCAGCCCTGTGATACAGAATGTATCTCAAGTACTGTGTCCTGCTCTGGACTTCACACTATAAATAGGATGTAGAGGTGCAGGAACCCATTCAGAGAAGAGCAACAGAACTATTAAAGGGACTGGAAAGCAACTATGAGCGGCAGCTGAGGGAACTGTAGTTGTCTGGTCTGGTGAAAAGGAGGGGAGACCTCACCGCTCTCCACAGCTACCAGAAGGGAGGCTATAGCAAGGTGGGTGTTGGTCTTTCTCTCAAGTGAGAAGTGACAGAACATGAAATGG